AGGTACAAATACAATCCCTGGTGGATACATGCCTTCATTTTACAAAAAAGACCTTGGTTCTGCTGGTCACAGAGGGCATCAGGGTCCTTCACTGGAATCAACAGCATCAAGTGAGGATGAACGTCAGAGCTTAGAGCTTACTGTAATATTCAGCCATATATATTTGAACTCGCATAACCTTTAAAGTGCCCAGTCACCTAACAATGCTGTTGTTAACTGTACATTTATTGCTGTTTTGATGCTATTTTAGATTATGCAACATGGCAGTCTGGCCGGAGTCAGATGAGCACATCTACCAACACGCCGTTGGTCAACAAGAGCACCCCTGGTCTGCTGCCTCGCCCACCGGTACAGACCATCCACGGGCGAATAGACTGGTCTGCCAAATATGGACACCGCTAGTGCCCTCCCTGGAGCCGTGATCGGCGCTCCTAAGAACTCTTTCACCTCCAAAGAGTAGGCCTAGTTGTTTTATAACACAAATCTGTACATACATTTTACACAGCAATAATTTTGTTTGTCAGTATGTGTACTATGGATGTTGTGAGTTGTAAAATATCTTAAGTGTGTAACTTAAATGCAAGTGGCCAAAATCTGAGCCCAGATTTGCTCTTCAGTGTTTTATTTTGTATTTCTGTAACATAACTGCTGTCCTGCAGAGGTTACACCTGTACCTTCATTTTGTCTCAGATGAATCATTGAATGTTGCTCACCAACCTGCATACATAATATGCATATTATAAATTCATGAAAACTTCACTGTGACTTGTTACTAATTACTTTGCCTCTGTACAGTGCAGTCATTTTTTTTTATTCTTGCTGTTTGTTTTATGATGGTAACCTTGTCAATCTGGTAACTTTTATTTGTGCATTGTGTTTTTTTTAATGAAATTCAAGGCAGTGCTTTAATTTCAGTAAAAGTACTGCAATGTAAGTGGTTGTCATGGTGTATAAATGTCTTTTAGAAGTCAACACGTTCTACCCCCTCGGCCAAATTGAGTGTGATCATTGCCAGTTATTGAGTATAATTAAACTTTTGACTTGGTACAGATATGTTCAACTTGTACTTTTTCATTTAATTGATGAGCTGTTTTAAACAAACAATAAAATATATACATTTCTAATTGTGGCCAACAGCTGTATTAAGGTGATTGCAGCAGCCCTGTTGGCCAGATGATGGCCAGCTAGATTAATCTGCCAGAGATTAAACTGTCAATAGTTGCTCTCTGCTAATGCCGTACATGCATTAATACAGTGCATCTATACTGATTTGATGTTCTGATTCAATTTTACTTTAGAGGGTACGTAATGTAATGAATATATTTTTACCTGCATTTGTACATAGTAGGATTGAAATAAATTTCAATTTCATCAACTGGCTTTTGAAGCCCTTGATGGACAATCTGGTCCTGTAGGTAATGCAGATAATATGGATGATGTGAGACTACATTATACTACATTGTACTCAACTGACACCAAGTAGGTGTATTTCTTATCTTCATAGCTATGTGGAAAAGTTCATTGCAGACCCCTATACGCCTTTTTAGGCCACATTCTATACAATGTAATAAGTGACAAACACGTGTCAATATGGTATTTAAAAAGGTGGCAGAGATACAGAACATGTGGTCAGATAGTAAGTATGTGGTTTAGAATCAACAATAAAGCGATTCATTTTGTGGTATGAGTATGTTACTGATTTAAATCAGCCGCTGTCAATCCTGTAGATATCTGCGCTCAAATAATCAATTGCTCGTCATGGTTCCGCGATCCCGTTTAAAATGTAAAGGTGATCGGGCTTTCTCTGTTGCTGCTCCTAGGCTCAGGAATGACTTTCCTCTGTCTGTAAAAACTTGTCCTTCATTGAGTACTTTTCAGAGTACGCTTAAAACTTGTTTTCTTTAGCATTTGATAATGCTCTGTAACTTGTGTATGTTATGTGTTTGCTGTGTTTTTGTCTCTGTTTTTATTTTCTCTTTTATACCTTCTGTACAGCACTCTGGTTCCACTTGTGGTGTTGAAAGTGCTCTATAAATAAAGTTGAGTTGGTGCTCAATACCATTACATTACATTAAATTAACATTTTTAGGTTCCTTTTTATATACAGTCTATGATCTCCATGCGAGTAAAGCTCAGAAACTTCTGTATTTCTTAATGAAAAAAATGTCTTTCTCAAGAAGGCAAAATTCCTGTGACTTTTAGGTTCTTATTAACTTTTTACAGAGAAGCAAAAGAAAGCATCCTAACTGAAAACACCACAAATGGCCCAGGTGAGGTGAGGTGCGGTGCCTGGGCGTGAGTCCACTCAAAGACAGTACCCAGTCTTCTTTGTTTATTGCATAGACTGTAAATCAAAAGGTTTATTGTCATCTGGCAAGAGATGGAGAAGGTAGAGGGAAAACTGAGTCAGTCCGCTGGCTTTTGCAGAGGTTGAGGGAAGTGGAGAGTGTGCAGATGCTAATCCAAAGCTTTGCTGAACCTGCCCACATAATAGGTATAAATACAATATAAATATATTTAGCTTTAAAATTGAAAAAGGAAGGCAGACTGCCACGTGCAGTGCCTCATTTGGATGTGTCTGACGCTTGGAGCTTAACTTCCCTACGTTTCTCCTACAAATGGGCCTTGAGCTTGTTTGGAGGTTCTAGCAGGGGAGCGCAGCTACTGGTACACCGATGGATGGTCGTCCGCCGGGGGGACCACGTCCTCTTCCACCGAGCGCGGGGCTTCGGGAGGGACACACATGGAGCGGTGAGGGAGGAAGGGGACACCCGCCTAGCCAGCCAGATCAGCCGAATCAACCCTAGCGATCAATGGGGTGACAGATGTCGCAGCCAGATCGCCCTCACATCCATTAGCAAAGAGGGAGGCGTGTCGTTTATATAGCGCTGTGTTACACAGGCGTTCACTGTCACGGTGTCAACTATCGGGTATGTTCGCTGCGATGTGTACAGTTCACCAGGTTCGTTTAAAAACGTTATTAACGTAAATACGTTGATATTTCTGAAGTGAAGATCGTATAATGATCGAAAACAGTCGGTTGGTATTTTTTACCCATGATGTCTAGCGGCAAATGTTAATGAGCCATGTTTCTATTGGCCAGAGCCAACCAACCATAGTCTTCAGATGTTTCCCCACCTTTATCAGTTTTTTTCAACACTCCCAACACTATATAACGAAAACAGCTTTTTCTGCCCACTTCGCCACAGTTTCTACACAACAACCGCGACGGTGCACTGGTATGGCAACTTTCCAAAGACACGTTAATAACTCAGTTTTGCATTCAGTTTGCATTCAGTAATAGGTGACATTTGCTCTGTCTGTTTTTTAGTTTTAGAGGTTAAAAATCCAAAACACTAATAGCCATGGCTGGACGAGTTGTGCTGCACTACTTCAATGGGAGAGGGAAAATGGAGTCAATCCGCTGGCTTTTGACAGTTGCAGAGGTTGAGGTAAGTGAAGGGTATGCTGGTGCTAATCTAAAGTTTTGCTTTAGAAACCCCCTGAATGTGCCCTAAGTCTTTTCTGTAATGTCACGTTCACAGTTTGATGAGGTGTATCTGAACACCAATGAGCAGTATAAGAAACTCTTAAGTGGTAAGTTGTCTCTGGCCTGATTCCAAGTCATTTGTATTCTCAGTCTGGTTTTGCTGGCCTTGGATAGGGCAGCAATTTGGAGTAATATAGGTCTCAAATCTCAAAGGTCATTTCCACTGGGAGTGCCACAATACCTTGAATTACGTGCTGCTGCTATTCTCTCTGCAGATGGAGTCCTCATGTTTCAACAGGTTCCCATGGTGGAAATCGATGGCATGAAACTTGTTCAAACAAAGGCAATCCTGAATTACATTGCAGAGAAGTACAACCTCCATGGAAAAGATCTCAAAGACCGTGTCATGTATGGCCCTTTTCAATAGCGGTGTATTAATAGGTGTGTCTGCTGTATGGTGTGATTTTAGTGAATTAATGTGTTGCAGTCAATATAGTGATGCTTTTCCCTCAGGGTCAACATGTACTCAGAGGGAGTGATGGATCTCATGGAAATGATCATGATGTTGCCCTTCAGCCAAGACCCAAAAGCCAAACTGGATACCATTCAAACTAAAGCAAAAGAGCGCTACCTTCCTGTGTTTGAAAAGGTACAGCTTTGTTTACATGAAATTGTAAAATATTTGGTTAAAACACCTTAAAGGTGGAAAATCGAAACCTGTTGCTGACAAAACAAGATATTGTGTCTTCCCAGGCTCTGTCTGGGCCCGTATACCTGGTGGGAGGAAAACTAAGCTGTGCAGATGTGCAGCTGCTTGAATGCACCCTGATGTTGGAGGAGAAATTTACTGGAATCCTCTCCGACTTTCCCAATATCAAGGTAAATGTGTAAAAGAGATGGATACACAAAGGAGCAACAACAAAAAAAGATAATTTATGCCCACAAAATTATTATGGACTTGGATATTATTATTAAAACAGGATATTGGTAATCATTGGACTACAGTTGAAAATTAGCCTGCTGGCTAACACTGGCACATTTACAGAAATGTTTATTAATGTGCACTGTCCTTAAATAAATAAATGAAATGAAATGAAATTTCGGTTTTTCCCTCCAGTCTTTCCAGGGAAGGATGATTCAGATTCCCGCCATCAATAGGTTCCTACAACCAGGCAGCAAGAGGAAGCCGCAGCCAGATGAAACCTACGTAAAGACCATCGTGGAGGTGTTCCAAATCAAATTACCAATATTGTGAACTCATTAAAAGATCTGGCACGTTCCTCATGTTGGCACAAAAGAACAAATCTATTTAGCAAGTAAAGAATATCTGTAATCTTTCATAATATTGTATGGGTGTTTTAATGTGAAGTTTCTACTAAATAAACTGTTTAATTTTGTGGAACATTTGAGAAGCTTCTGTTTTTGTTCTTTGTCAATTCAAAGGCCCTAATTTCTCTGACAGAATTTGGACTATCACATCTGCACCTTGTACACAAAAAGAAAAGCATTATTTTCAGAATCACCTTGGTTTATTTATTATTACATTATCACAAACATTAATTTTTATTCTTGTCTAATGTCAAAGACACCGCACAAGAGCAGAATACACATTTTGTGTGTTAAACTTGTTCCCTCTTTCAGTAATTTGAATATTTCAGCTTAATAACCTTGATAGTTTAGCAGCCTGCAAAACAGAGAGTATTTTTTATTTATTTTCATTAAAGAACCCGCCAAGACAAACAACAGCACCCACAAAGCTTGTGTACATCTGCTGCACTGCCAACACTGTGAGTAAACCTGTGGTAATACTACATGAAAATTACTCTTAAATCATGAGATTTACATTACTGCACATGCTGACATACAAAAAATGTTATGATTTATATATAAGATCACCGAAACAGATTTACTGCAATAAGATTACTAGTTCATCTTAAATCTGTTGAACACCCACTGGTAGCTTTTGGTTCCTGGTCACATGACAGCAAAGTTATAGTTCAAAGCAGAGGATTTGTTTTAGTATGCTAACTGGGAATGATGTTTCCTTTCAAACAAGGTTTGTTCATTGAGAGACAAAGAGCCCTCAGCCCGGTCAGTGTTGTTCCTCCATTCACACCATGATGAGCAGTAACAGTCGGAAAACCATCAACAAACTGTAAGAAGGAGACAGCAAATCAGAAATGAATACATCAGCAGGTGTGTAAAATGTGTCCAACATCCTCCACAATCCTTGATTTGCTCAGTAAACGCTTTTGCATGTCAAGCAAGTCTGACTCCTAACCTTAGCCCTGACATAATGCCAGCAGGAATTATTTTGCCAGACTTCTTGTATCTCATTCCCATCACGACTGAGAGGACTCCCGAGGCCACTGGAAGAAAGAAAACACCATGCCATGACACTGGCTGGATGTTTTAACCAATTCCCTGATTTGTGAACTGTTGAAAATCAAGATATTTGAATGAGCTTAGTCATACTTACGCAATAAGACCTTGATGTCCTTTGGGTCATTAGAGATACTGTATGCACCATAAGCAGATAATCCACCAAAAACTAAACCAGCCATCAGGGACATCACACTGCCTACAGTGAGATAGACACACGATGCTAATCAGGGTTAAATATTCAACAGATGAATTACTCAACAGTCATGTGGCGTCAGATATGAGCTGTCAACCTTTTCTCTTGTATCCCATAAATCCTCCAAAGACAAGGGTGGCAGCATAGCTGAAGCCAATCCAGTCCACTGCCATCACAGAGCTGTAAACAGAAATATGGTACCTTGGGTGTCAGGGATGATTCGTGTTGAAGTAAGACTTTAAATAGCAATTCTTACAAAAATCCCCAAACCAACAGATAATTTAATGTAATTCTAAAACTCTAAAGTACTAAGTAAAGTAGTTCAACATTTTACACAATGAGTGGCCCCACTGGTAGAGACTAGGTTAGGTTTTCCTTTGCTGCTTTTGTGAACACTTAATATGTATATATATATATATATATGTATATATATATATATATATATATATATAATCATAGATTAAAAGTAGTGAATTTTGATCATTTGAGGTGTAACTTGTAAATGAAAACGTGTGTCTTTAAACGTTTAAACGACCAGCCAGGCCAGGATATACGCTGAACACCCACAGGTTTCCCTCTTCTGAACCTTTTCAGCACACTTGTACTTTAGTACTGTCAAAGCTCTTATACCTTAACGCAATGGGAACGGACTGACCCGGTATCGATTTTCGCTGTTCTAGCTGTTTCCCGTCCAAAAACTGCGGCACTTTGTGTCCACAGAGGTCGTCTGGCGGGCCGCCATCTTGGTGAGGTCGGCTGCGGTCTTTAGTTTCGTTTGTGTCAAGAGGTATGAGAGCCGAAGAAGAGTGTAGTTTGGCGGAGGCGAACTTTATCGGTCTCTGCACACAGTCATACATACCCACAGCCCTGTAGGATGTGCTGTCCTCAAGCTGTGGGCCTGTAAAGCATGGTAGTGCTTTTGGTCACTTATATTGAATGTTTTTTTTTTATCAATATTTCAATGTTTTGGAAGCTTTATGTTATTTGGAACGTGGTTGTATGGACAGAAATAACACCTGGTATATTTTTGAAAGATTGTGTAATAACTGCTGTATATCAGTTTCTTTTCAATAAATTTACAGTTACATTTGTATTTTAGGTGTATTAGAAGATATTCAGGTGCATTATAGTCTACCGTAGGATGGTTTTGATGGTTTATTGCATCAAAATAAAGCTTTTTTTTACCAGGCAATGATGAAAATATTACATTTCTTCTGTATTTCATATCCATGTAGTCTGTAATGGTAAAATAAATATGTTAATCTACAATGGATTTATATTACTTAGCTTCTGACCTTTCAAAGGAGACCAGAATTATGCATCTAGGCCTAATGGTTGAGGAGATATTACTGATTTATTTTGGATATGTTATTTTAGACGTTTTTCCTAGAAATAGGTGCCAGGTAGGAGGTACGTCTCTGCCCCTGTTGACTGAGTGTCAACCAGTAACAAGTCTGGAAGATCTGTAGATGTCGCTGTGACACTTTCAGTGACTCAAATTTAAAACAACAGCGCATGAAGCGCACAGACGTACACGCATATTCACGCAAGTAATTTACTTAATGTGAAGTACGTATCGTTATCGTGTAATCACTATACTGTTCTGCAATTAGTCTTGCTGCATTATAGTTACATACCTTGAGTCCAAAACAAGTGAGCTTCAGCACTTACAAAACGTTACCTTCAATCTGTGAACCGCACTTCCTTGTCACAGCCCACAAAATCTTAATACGCATGCGCCATTTTTTGCTCCTGCTGTGTTTGTGAACTTATGATAAAATGGGAAAGTAGCAACTCCGAACATCAAACTGAACACCGGTAGATTTTTTTTAGTTTTACTTTCCCTGGAATGTATCCATTTTTTGTGTAGTGATTATCAGACCCACTTCACAAAACGATTTGTACGTTGGAGGTGTGCACAATCAGAGTAGTCAGTAGTCCGCTGTACTTAATGCTTGTTCCACAATTGGCCAAATTCCAGCAGTAAAATATGTGGATATACTTGTGCATCTAATATTTTTGACTGAGTAGGTCAGTCTTTTAATAACAACATGTTCAGGACAGTAAGACAGCAGAGAGACAACTCTCCCCGAAGAAAACTGCTTTATTACACTCTGACCCCCCCTTTTCCAAAACTTTCACACATTAAAGGTTTCGTCATTTCATAATCATAATAATAGTCCTCGAAAAGTGTAAATCAATGCATTCTTAGCGCAAAAATAAGCCACTATGAATTGTAGACAATGTTGCAGTGAGCAGCAGCTCCAGCAGAGCGCCTCCATGCAGTCACCTGGTGGAAAAGAGCCACGTGGCCCTCTGCAAGAGGGCTGAGGACCAGCGCCTCCAAAGAGAAGGCACACATTTCCAAAATCCGCTGGCATTTATATACTGTCTACACAGAGTTTGCTCATGAGTTACAGTCTGGTCTTGTCAGGATTAAAAAATGACTATAAAATGGCCGACAAGGAAGAAGAACAACAAAGGATTATTCAAGTGAGGTATTAGAGCGACATGTAAAAACATTTACTGTACCACACACACAAGAGGAAAACATATCTCGGACTAACTTCAGAGGAAGACAAGAAGGCAAATATGTAAAGTGACTTGTGGAAAAAGCAATGGTTTCATTACAGTAAACAACAACAGACATACAGTGCATTTCACAAATACAGTGATAATTTTAATACAAATGGCTTTGAGTGCACACGAGCCTGTGATATACCATTGCCATGGCTTCATCAGCTTTTTGCTAGGTAGATAATTGAGCTGTAACATGGTATTCAAAGTAACAAATGCATATAAAAAGTTATGGAACTGTGAATAAAGTGAAAAAGAAAAATCTAATCTAATCTAATGTATTTAGGCCAATAAAACAAAACAAAACAAAAATACATCGACATGAGGTTTCTTTGCTGTCATCTGCGCTGGCATTAAAATGAGTATTGCTCAACTTGTAGAACTTCATGGTAAATACACCAGGTGGGGTTTTTTTTGGCAATGACTGACATTTTAAAAGGAGCAATATTTTACATTGGTAGAACATTTGCATTTTTAACACGCACTCTTCCACATGATCTCACTGTGGCGTCGTCAGTGACAAACACTTTGCTCAAAAATATAAACGGATTGTATTTTCCCAAGGATGTTAACATTAGTAAAAATCTAAATCCTCAAAACATTTACTCTTTCATAGAAGCATACATTAACACGTTTTCACGGCTACATTCATTATCAGTATAGAACAAAGTGATGATTGAATATTTCTGGTGCAGCTGGTGTTATGTTTATTAGCTCCTACAGAGGACTGCATGCTATTCGTTTTGTTCTACTAATGTAAAAGTATCACTTTAAATGAGCAAATTGCATAATCCTCATAACATGGGACTTGGCAAAAATAACAGACATTACAACCAATGTTAATGAGTCAGTGCACTTAATAAATCTTGACCCATCATCAGTGGGCTAGGTCAGCTACATACAGTAGCTAACCATGACCATTAAAACAGGTTTTGAGAATTTAACAAATGTCATCCAAGACATTTATCACTGGCCAATGTTTCATGGTTAGCATGCAAGAATACAAATTTGGCTAAATCTGATGATGGGAAATTTCAATACAAGTTTATAGCTTTTAAAAAAATTATTATTATTGGGTATTTTTAGATCTAATGCTTTTCAACAAATCCACTCATGTTTTCTCATCATTTCAGGCTGCAAATCCAAATAATGCGAGGGAACAAGAAGCACAAAAAGCTTAACATTTCTCCGCAACTCTGATCAGCTATCAGCTCAAGGTCAACAATGAGCGAGACGTGGGATAAATCTCTGAGCCTCTTATCAGACGCTGCTCAGCATCTGGAACACACCTTGTGTTGTTGTGACACAGGAAAATGGCACAGTCTCTCCACGTCTTTTATGCATCTCATCACGGCAGCCTCAGCCCTGTACCTTAAGGGGAAAGGTTTACCCACAGCCAGCCCAGCAGTGTCCCGTACACCCAGGTTCTCACGTACAGTTTCCTGCCGTTCTCCGTCAGCAGTAAAGGCAGTGTCAGGCCCCCCAAGATAACCACTGATGGGAGGGTTTTAGACGGATTCAGTGGAGAATGTTTGCCTCCTCCAGGGAACCTGCATACTTTGTCTGGATCCTCCGACTCGTAGAAATCCGTCAGCAGCCTTTGAAAAGACAGATAAGTCTCTTAGGAATTCAGCCCGTCACACATCAGGAGTTTTTACAGCAGCTGCAGCATAAAAACTGCACCTAAATCACAACAGAGCTTTTAGTGGATTGGCTGGTGTTGTCAATGTTGGACTCAATGGGTCTTTCTAACTCCGTATCCAAAGACATTCATTTTACGGTCATAGAAGACAAAAAAAAGAAAAAGAAAAAAAAAGAAGCAAATATTCACATTTGAGAAGCTGCAACCAAAGTTTGTTTTTTAATTAACTTTTTTTTTACTTATTTCTTTACATTTTTACTTAAAAAATGCTATAAATAATTAATTGATTAATTGCAGATTCATCCAGCAACTTTTCCACTCTATCTTTTATCAACAGTTAACAATATTTGGTAAACTTGTAAGTTAACAAAAGTTAAAAAAAACTCATACTCATTATTTATTTTGTTTTTTCTTGCTAAATGAGCAATACTTGTCTTTTCTTCCTCGTCAAGTTATGAGTCTCATTTTACTTACCCGTGGTGAATAAATCTTGCTAACCTGAATTCAGTTTCCTTTTAAGCATCAGAGCACTTTTGTTTAGTTATTGTTCACATTTTTCCCCCCAGTTGTGTGCGCCCTCTTGTGTAATGGCTCTATGACACCCCCCCCAACATCCCGATTGGAGAACCACTGGTCTATACTAAATGGAACTGCACATTTTCAGATTTTCAAAATAAGCTATAAGACTATTATTTTCAGGTTGTTTTTTTTTTTTTTTTTTTTTTTTAGGAGTCATACAGAAAAGCATATATATTACATATTTGTGCTAAAAATGGTGGCGTGAAGAAACAAAACATTTAAAACACACACATACACACACTTACCGGTCCTTCATTTCGAACCGCTCGTGCAGCCACCTGCGGAAAAACAGTGGCTCTGTAGGAATTTCCTTTATGTCCACACGGTCAAAGTGTATGTGGACTCGCGGACATTCCTTGCACAGGAATTCTGTCAAACACAAAAAATAAAGAGACTAAACAAAAACAGGAAACGTCTTTCAGCAAAACGGCACGTAGAGTAAGCACTTAAGATCAACACGGGGCGACAAAGATGGAATAGAGCTGCTATGACGCTGTGATGCCAAGTTAATTCAGGAGAGTAAAGATCGGTATCGTTGTACGGCTCTTAGACTATCAGACTAATGAGCAGATCTGATAATGAAATCAGGTCAAATCTGAGTCAAAATCAAGCGTAAATTTAGAAATATATAATATGAATTTATTTCTAAATTTATTCATTTATTTATTTACTTACTTATTTTCCCCAGTGTCAGGTCTCAGAGCATTAAGTGAAAAAAGAAACCTAAATGTCTGAGAAGGTCAGACATAAAGATGTAAGCAAGTGTGAACGCTCAAGGCTACACGTGTATCCCCAGAGACCTGCAAGTTCCTGTTTCCACAACATGCTATATTATCAGGAAACCTGGCACTGCGGCCAAAAGAGGAAACTTGATCGAAGTTGAAGCAGAGAAAGATTGCTTCACCGGGGGAGGGAGCTCCTCGATCGGCTGCTGCGAACATTTATATTGACCTTCAGAGACAATACGTTGCAGTTCAATAAGCACTGGCTGTTAGTGTGGACGGAGGCCCACGTGATTTGTTTTCTGCAAGAACACACATTAAAAAGGCAAAGTCACTCTTGAAAGAAAAGGCCTTCCTTCCTCATACATGGAGGAAGGTTAAGTGCCATTTCTGGGTTTCTGCTGAGAATATGAATCTTAAAAGTGTTTCATAAATCAATGCTGAACCTACTAAAAGAAAGCTGAGCTTCCACTGCAGGTCACGTGTGTTGATGAAGGAGATCAACTCGACAAACAATGTCTCCTGATCTAAATCCCTTTAAACTCTGAAAATGTGAGAGAAGGAATTGTAAATATCTTGAGTCATCTGCACACAGAGGAGGAGACCAAACAGCTACTAGAGAGGTGCAGGGAACTCATGCATTAAAATAAAAAAAAAGGTACTTAGGGGTAGATAATTTGTAATTAATTTGTTTGAACTGAATGCATCAAATTGTAAATGAATAAGACACTGAAAACAGAAATATATTGACTAAATCAGTTCCAGTGTTTCAATACCAATATTTCCATCCACAATCAGATAAAAACACCAAATTACAATTCAAACAGCCATTTAACACGAATGCAAAAAACTTCTGCAATTACCATTTCTGTCCTGTGATCAGACAACCTTTTATTAGCCCGAATTAACAAACTTGTGTTTCTTACAGTCTGTATTTTGGTTTTCTTTTCACGATGTTCATGATTGCATTCCACCGAGACAGGCTTCTCTAATACGCACTAATATTTTGGGATAATGCAAGAACATTTCCTCATTTATAGCTACTGAGTTGAAAAACTGAGCTCAATTGTTGGCTTAATTAACTACTGACGTTACTAGAGCAGTAAATGAGACAGGGACAACCTCAAATTAACATGCCATTCTGATCTGAATAAAAAACAAGTTCTATGCAAAACCATACATTTCCCTACGTACACAGCCATA